CACTGCAATAACTGTCTCCTGGGTTCAGGCACTTCTCCTGACTCAGCCTCCAGAGTAGCTGGGACTACAGCCATGTGGCACCATTCCTGGCTAATTTTCTGTATTTTTATTAGAGATTGGCTTTCATTCTGTAAGCGAGGATGGTTTCAATCTGCTGACTTGCTTAGGTCAACCTGCATAGGCCTCTCAAAGTGGTAGGAATACAGGCATAAACTAAAGAAACACAGCCCAGATAGGAAACGTGTACAGATTCCAATGGGGACGTAAGAGATGCCTATTTTTGTATCAACTTAGGTGCACACAAATGAAGAAAACTGCCAACACCACAGTTTACTCTCCTACATAATTTCCTTATAAGCATGTATAGCAATGAAATCAGGCATTTGATGTTACATGTAAAATTTTATTCTGAAAATTTTTAAACAGATATTACATCAATACAGAATAGTTTTCAATTCAATTAGCACTAACAGTTGTAAAATTACTTTCAAAAAATAAGTTTTTATCTTAATACATCAAAAATAGTCATGGAGGAAATGAGTATCTCCCTCTCCCACCAAAAACAACCTATTTCTTATAGTGGTACTCAGGTCATAATGCAGAAACAACATAATGATTTTCCATTCAACAGCAAGGTTTGGTATGCAATAATGATGATTTTTAGTATCACCTTCGGTCTCCTTTTTCACACCGCCTTCCCCCATCATGTCCTGTAAATGTCTAGTATCTTGAGCTACCACGTGCTTCACGAGAAGCACGGTTCACTCTCTCCATAGAGGGTGGGCACATTGGTTCTTTTCTGCCACAATGCTCACCATCACTGGAACAGAAATCGCTATGGCTCCTTGAGTATCTCTCCCAACTTCTGCCATATCTATCTCGTGTACTGTTATGATCAGGGCAATTGCTTCCACCATAAGTCTTCCAAGGCCTTTGTGCAGGTGCTGAATCATGAGAGGTCCCTGCAGGGTTAATAAAATCATAGAACTTATGTTGAAATACATTTAAATATTTTTACTGGCATCACTGAAGCATGAATCAGATAAAGGACTATTTGGAAATATTTGCATTCATCTGTCTTTAATGACAGGACAGTATTTATTTCTGAATTGTTCCAAAGGCTTTATTTAAAAGAGGCATAAGAGTAGTATTGTCAAGCTTAAGGAATTTTATTCTGAATTAAACACCAATCACATTTTCTGATAATTAATGGAAATTTTAAGCTTCGTACATTTCCCAAAGCTTTATACTGTTCAAAATTCTCAGTATTGAAACAAGCTACATTTTTCCTTTATACTTTCCCTTCTAAAAAATCTGGTCTATTCACTATAATTCTGTACTTTAAAAATCAAACTTGGAGTCTTACTATAAGTCTTATATGAAGCTCTGTTAGAATTTCTACTATGATGTTCAGGATGATCTCTACCACCATGCCTTCTGTAGCCATCATGATCACTAAAAAAAAAAAAAAAAAAAAAGGTTTGACAGTGTCAGAATGAACGATTTAAGAAATCTATTGGACAAAACTGAAAAAATGTTATAATACCTATATCCTCTAATGGAATGTTTATCCTCTCTAGAACGAGCATGATCACGGTATGCATAGTGTCTGTGCATTGAAACATATTCCATGGTGTCTCGGAAACTTGGATTATTTCTGATTGCATAGGTTGAAGAAACAAATTTTTAATTATCAACATCTAGTATCAAAAACATAACTTATTTACAGCTTAAATAAAATAAAGGCCAGACATATCTAAAGGCGTAGGCACTTCTACACATACAATATGAAAAATACGCAAAAGACAAGTGGAACTGATACTCATAATTAATTACTCAGAAAATACATTTCAAAACCCAAGTGAGATATCATATTTCAGCCATACTAAAATGGCTATACATTGTAAAATGCTAAAAATATCAAGACCATGCGAGGATGCAGATAAACTGGAACCCTGACACAATGCATGTTGGATTGGAAAATGATGCAGCTACTATGAGGAAATGGGGTGTGGCCTCAAGAAAAAAACAAACTTAACATTAAGAGCAAGAATTTTCACTCATACATACCCAGAATTGAGTAACTGTACTCAAACAAACGTGTGCATAAAAGCAGTGTGGAGGAAACACCCAAACAAAAGAATGGGTTAACAGCTTGTGTAAAAAGCAAAGTGCTATGATGTGAATGAAAATTCAGGACATCAGGCAGAAAGAAAACAGACATAAAAGTTGAGTAGTGTTTGATTAAGCCCATTAACATGAAGTATGCAGAACAGGTCAGTTCAGAAACAAAACAGACTGGTGGTTATTAGCAGCTGATGGAAAACACAAAATGAAAGGGATGGCTTAACTGGTAAGGGACTTGTAGTTGGGAGCGATGAAAAGGTTTTGGAACTAGACGGGGGTTGTTGCACAACATAGCATGTAATAAATGCCACTGAATTGTTTACCTTAAAACGTTCCATTTTCATATGTGAATTTCATCAGTAAAACAACAATAAACTAGTTTTTCATTTTTCCTTTACCTACTCTTACTTGCATAACCATCATGTTTTCGTGACATATGGTCACACCTCCAGGAAGACACTGACTTTCTGCATAAAGGACCTCTGTAATAATCTCTTCCACGTGATGTGGGACCTGTAAATTTAACATGATGAAATAGTATGTAAACAGCAGAAAACCTGAAACAGTATTATTTGTTCTCTAAGACAACTGTTACAAGATATTTCTTCAGTGATTGAATCCTTCTTTCCCTAAGACACCAGTAATTCATGACACCTTGAATACTTCTCATGGCTCTGAATTATCTCTTGATTCCTACAAGGCCAGTTCTTACAAACTTAAGCCAGACACTAACACTTAGGTAAAAGTTCCCTTTTAATGGTTAATAAGTATTAGTTATTATTTTCCTTCTCATATGAATTGCCTACAACTATTAATGACACCGGCATAACATGTAAAACCATCAAAGACTTGACTGATATAAAGTTTACACATTGGTGCTTTCTCAGCTCAAGAAAGAAAATTTACCCATGTTGTTCAGTGCATCTCACTCACACAAATCCTGCAACCCTCAAATGGCTGCATGTTATATTTTCACCTAAGTGTTCTCCTTTGTCTCTAAGTGGTTGGCCCTATCTTAAATGTTGAAAAATTAAAATGTACTAGTGCAAGTTTTCTAATGATGCCCAAGAATTCTTCTCCCGGCAATAAGCAGTACTATTAAAGTGCTAATTAAACCATTATGCGTCTTTCAAAATAGAAAACACTCTCTTTTAATATACTCTTCATGTGCAGCTTCTTAGAGGTCAGGCTTCCACCTATGATGTGTTCACTGGCTAAACTTTTGATGAAAATGTGCTGACTTGTGCATTTTAAAGTCAGTAGATACCTAACTTCACGGATACTCTATTAGAAAATCTAAAATAGAAAATGCAATGTTTCCATTTTCTCCAGATTATCATGGAGGGCTAAATAAGAATTTTCATATGTTCTGCTTAAACTTCTTTGCTGAGAGCTGTTACTTTATTGTCTGGTTTTCTTCTGTTCACTCTGAAACCTTACAATTCTCCTTCTCATAATTATTATTTCTATTCTACCCTACTGCTTGCCTCATGCTGTTTCGTTCTAAATTCTCCCCTTAAATAGTTTCAACTCCTACACTAAGTATCTTCTGTTAATGTTTAAACATCCCTATAGCATCTTAACGATTAATTTTCAGCCCTTCCTATGTTTCACAAATCTGCACTTCTGTGATATCGACATAACTGAAAATGTTGGACATGCTCTGGTCCAACACCCATCTTTGAGGATGCTCTTACTATCCTAAAAACCAGTCAGAATGCCTCTCACGTAAGCATTGCTGGGGTCTCAGGATCTGGATGGCCAGGCACAATGGCTCACGCCGTGAGACAGTGTGGAAGACTGAGGCAAGTCGACTGCTTGAGCTCAGGGATTTAATGTCAGCTATGACAATGTAGTGAGATCCTGTCTCTACCGAAATATTAAAAAAAAATTAGACGGGTGTGGTGGTGCATGCCACTAGCTGCAACAACAGCAGGCAGCTTTAAGAGAGTAACTGCTTCAGCCCCAGAATTTGAGGCAGTCATGAGCCATCATCTCACCAGTGCACTCTGGCCTGGTGAAGGCAGTACTTCAACCAAACAATTAAACTGAACATACAATTTTTACATGGGAACACCAGGGGTCCAATACAAAGGGACCTACAAAATGGAAGAATTGATTTGATTAAGAAACTGACCATCAAAAAATACTACCAGGAACTTCAAGAAAAATTAAAAGCTATTCTCTAGCAAACACAGCATTAAGGAGTGTTTCCCTCACTGTAATCCCTTCATTTATCTGCAGTTTGAAGCTCAAGTGTTTCTTTACCATGAATCTGTAACTCATCTAGTGAGATGGAAAGTATTATAAAAGTTTTCAAACGGTAAATATGCCATTATGTGTCACATCTATTTTGTTTCTCAAACTTTAAGTTAAGCCTTCAGTACAAATGGCTCATTTTTAGTCATACAGAAATGACAGAATTCCATCAGGTGATACTTACCTTGACCTCTCATCCCACTATTGCTTCTAGCCAGAGTAAAAGGAGCAGACTTTTTAGGATAAGGACCTCCACTTCTCAAAGGTGGATGTCTTTTAACTGGAAAATGTCCCCTGAAAGAACTCATATTGAGATCACGAGTATATTCACCATCATCTGCATTTCAAACAAAATCTTTTGTTAAGTAACCACCATTTCTTAAATGGCTAAGTGGTAGATATTTCTAAATCTTTCCGATGCATTGTAATCTTAAACATTCACATTTGTGTGTGCTAAAGAATGTAGAATTTCTCGATTAAATCAATGCCATTCAAAATAACAAAATCCATTTAAACATCTATCAAATAAACACTCAAGAAACACTGTATAGGGCTGTGAGAAAGAAATGTGGGATAAGTGGAGAATGAACTGAGAGCACAAGCCTATGGGGTAATACCATAATATAATCAAGCTAAAAAAAAGTCAGGAGATAAACAATAAATTATTGTTCATATCGTTCTGGTATTATGAAAGCTTTTTGAAATCATATAATAAACATAAATCAAATTACACTCAAAGAAACTCAATTATTTATAAAATGATACAGTAACACCTCAGAAAAGTACATTATCTGCAAATTTCTTAACGTAATACAGAATTCTTAAAGTTCCCTTATAAAATACTAATTTTCCTCTAAGCCTATGCTCAGTTTTAATAATCTTTAAGAATCATGTATTAAATAATAATTTTTTTTACATATCTATAAAACATTTGAGTCCTTGGTGGTGTCACATATACACATTCTCCTACATGGCAGAGTATTATGAAACTTCACCCTCAAGATTAATTGCAATCAAAAAAGACAAGAAGTTCTGCCTCTTAAAATGAAGGGAACACTGCAATTTCAAATTTAGAAAATATATCTCCCATACATTACACAGCTAGCTAATAAAATTATAAATTAATGTTACATTTTTGGTGGTTGGTTAATAGATAATACAAGTTAACCAATAGGTATTTTCTCAATACATAGGTTCCTTTTTTATTAAATTAGAAATTAACCCCTCTGTCCTACTGAGTAACTCAATCTTAGGTGCCATTTTCAGAAGCTCTTCCCCCAGCAAAGCAAGATACATATGTATTTGTGAAGCCAAGGTTTCTGACATTTCTGAGTCACCGAGTCTTTTGAGAAACTGAAGTTCTATAGTCCATGACTGGAAAATACCTTATGGCAGTCCTATTTACAAATTCTCCATATTAAAAGTGAAATGGTTTTGATTTGTATACACGTCTATACACGCACACACACACACACACACACACACACACACACACACACACAGAAACAAACAAATATTGTTAAAATAAGTCCTCAAATAGTTAATAATGTCCCACTGGAAGGGTTTCAAGCTTTCACGGTATTTTGATAATACAACTTATATGAAATTCTGGGCCCCAAAGTAAGAAACTCTAAAGTATAATTAATGGAAATATGTTCAGCAGACAATCTGTGGAGAACACGTAATCAAGATTCATAAACTCAATTTACTTTGAAATTTGTCTTATTTCAATTGAAAGTAATTAAGATTTTAAAATGAGTTTCAGATAGTAGTTTAATCATTCTCATTACACACTTTTAGTACTTATAAATCATGTCGCTTATTAACATTGAATTAATTTTCTGTAATTTCTATATTTTCTAGCTTTTTGTCTTTCTGTGCTTTGCTTCCAACTTTATATATTAAAATGTTACCTATGCGTCCTCCACGTGAGGGATGCCAGCCTCTAGTCGGTCCACTCTTTCCTCTTGCAGATCTCTCTTTTCCTGTGCATCTACTCTTTCTTGAAAAACATGGTGTTCTCTGCCTGCCAGCACTTTGAAAAAATGGTTTCTTGGCTTGTTCTACTTTTAACACTTTTCCATCCAAAAACTAAAAGTATTAAGCATACCATCAGCAACAATGCCACATTTGAACTAATTACATTTTAGAGACTTTTTTACATCAACTGTATTTATGTTCTAGATGTTTTCTCCTAAACAAACTTTCTTTTCCTGAAATGCCCACGTTGTGAACATAGCAAAACGTGCCACAATCACTCAGACCATGTATTCTGTTCAAAAATGAATACCAATTCCATTATTTAAACTCTGTAAAAAGGCCTCCACTATTAAAAATAACATATAAAATAGTTAACCCATCACAAATTGTATGGGAGAATGTAGCCCATCTGTTCTTTACAATATAAAATATGTTTCATCTTTGCATTCACATCACATATTTAAAAGTTTCAGTGTCTTGAGGCTACATGAAAGAATGTGTCATTTGAAAGCATAAGGTTAGTTATTCAAAGTGGTTAATCACATTATTCATTATGAATTCTTTCTTGATCCTGCTGCTGTTAATCACATAAAATGTCCAAATATGATTTACACTTCTGTATCTACTCTAGTTCTGTTTCAATAAATGGGACCCCTGTTTGGTGTCATTCATGTTTTCTGCCTTACTCATTTCTTATCTTCCCAAGAGGCATTCCTGAAAAATGACCCTTAACATAGTACTTCATGTTATTTCTCAGAAATGGTTTACTGTCCTAATTACATTCACAATAGCTTTTCTCAGTTTAATCTTTTCTGTAGGCCAAAGTAATGATTGAAAACAGTTCTGGTAAGAACTCTATTTAAACATTACATGGCTTTTGTTATTTGGGAAAGGATCTTAAATCCCGTCCAAGACCTGTTGCAGCCAAATAAGCAGTTCTTCCTACCTTGAGACATCTTCTGTCATTTCTTGGCCCAGAAGAATTTCCCCTGTTTTGTGCAGTTGCTTCCTTCCTAGTGTTCCAAAGTCAGCCACAATTTCTTAAACCGTAAGCACCCCCTGAAAACTCTAAGTACCTTCTTTATTTCCCTTCTTAACACCTCTCTACATATAACGTTTATTTTCACTTTTCCATAATAAAATGTGTGAGGCAAGGCAATTTGCAAAAGACATCTACAAAAATTAACCTGTCTTGATCACGAAAACTGGGGAAAAATGGACAAACATTACGATATATAAGTCAAAAGTGTCTCCATACCTAGCATGAAACCATGAACCAAATCAACTATCAGCTTGTACCACAACTTAAAATATGCGAGGATTAGGGTGAATAAAAATGCACTGTCTGCTATTTACCAGGAAGTGAGATACACAGAAGACAAAGAAAATCAACTCGAAAAATTTAAAGATGCACTAAAGACAATTTAATGATCAAGTGATTAATATATGGTATGGTGAGCACAAAATTCCTATAATAGACACTGAGAAAAAAAAAAAGAAAATCTAAGTTGTTCTTAAAGGATAAATTGCCATTTGTCCAACATTTACATGGAAGAATAATACTCAAGTGGTCCAGGAAAACATATTGGGGATGGCATCAAGTATAGCAGGAACTAAAAACAGATTGCCATAATGATATACAATAGAAAAGCTCCAGGGCATCTCCAATGGAATGATCTTGACTGCAATATAAAGGAATTCAGTAGGGAAGAAAATTGCATAAAAGTTTAAAGCTGTAACAAATACAGAGTCTCTAGAATTTCAGACTCCACAGGACAAGATGCCATTGTTTGGATCAAAGCAAGTCCTAAAACACTCTGGAAAAATTAACAAGGAGGTATACATGTTACCTAGCAAATAGGTATGCATGTCACCCTGGTTACAGGAGAGAAAAAAAAAAAACGTTCTTAGGAGAAGGGTGCATGAATGGGGCAAAAATGTCAGTTACTTGTTCCATTATTCAACTTCAATGTTCTCCTATTATTTTCTATTTTCAAGTACTTAACACTTCTTTAAGCGGTCTTGTTTAAATGAACTTTCTCAAGAATGTATTTACAGAAAATGGGAGAGGATCGTTCCTTCTTGTGAGTATGTCTAGATATCTATCTAAAGAAGATTTATTTTTTTTAAGTCTGCCTAGATGTCTATCCACGTTTCTCTGTGCTATAGACGTTTTACTATGAATTGGATGTAATTCCATTAATAGCCATTTAATAAACATGACTTCTTTTCCTCATTTTCATCAGAGGTCATTCTAAGTTTTAAAGCTGTTCAAAATCTTTGAAAACCTATTTACACTCATATTGAAATGAAAACATAGAAATTGGATTACCATACGATAATTTACATAATGTTCATTCCAATATCCTTCCAACTACACTTGCATTTATATGTCCAAGGAAAAGCATAGCTAAACCATTTCCATTATACTATTTTCAAAGTGTACTAGTACTAAAAAGACATAGATATGCTGTTAATTGAAGAACAGAGTTAGAATAGCACTAATAAGGGAATCTTACCTTTCCATTCCAATCTCTGGCAGCATGCTGAGCATCTGCAGCATTCTCAAAAGTAATGAACGCAAAGCCTCTGCACTTCCTGCGTCGATCTTTCAACAACAGAACTAAAATATATGAAAACCTTTTCATTTATATAATGGGCTTACGATAGTAGTAGCTATCTGAATGTGACATCAAGAAACAAGCAAATTGCACTTCACATCCTTACTATGATTCTTAACACTACATCACCCCTATAGACAGCCTATTTTATGCCCTATCATTCCCTACCACCAAACAAATTTACTTTTGCTTGTATTGTAATAACCTAGCTTGTGCTAGCCTAACTGACTCCATCTAAGCCGTGAGCCTGACATGCTTCATTTAGCTTCTCCCTTTCTACCTCGGACCCCTCCAGGTGCATTCCTGGGTCACACTGCATTCAAAGCTTTGAATCCTTAAGAGTAGTTCACACTGTTCCCAGTACCTGTAACCATTGTAACCGCCTCCTGTTTGGCAAGTCTACCTGCTACTGTCAATACCCTTCTTGGTGATTCAGTGTATGGGAAGTTCCCCCTGTTACCTCCCTAGATGCTTGTATGCAAATACCCTTAGCAACCAACTATCCTGGGAACCTCCTGCCCCCTGGTTACAGGTGCCTTATCTAACTTCCTTGTTCTGCTTCTGTAAAATTCCGCTTCAGCTAGGCTCCCCCTCCCCTACCTAAATCAAGCTATAAAGGGAAATCAGGTTCCTTCATCGGTACTGAAAGGTTTGGAGGGTGAGCAGACTCTCAGTCCCTGGCAAATAAAGGACTCTGAATTTGGAACTCAGAGAGTGGCACTCCCCTTCTAACTGACTTGGTTACAAAACTATCCCATTGGCAGTACTATGCAGGGGAACTTTAACACAGACCCATCACCTGCTGCCATGAGAATATTCTGAATACCAAATAGAAACAACAGGAGTTTAAAAACAAAACAAAAAAATTATGAAATCAATTACATATGTTAAGTATATGTTTACTTTGGGGAAAAATATGTATATGTTGGTTTTAAGGGTTACCTTCTGACACGGGACCATGTCTCCCAAATACTGCTTTTAGCATGTTTTCATTGGCTTCTCTAGTGAGCCCACCAATGAAAAGCTTGCCAGGGCGATCTGCTTCCATAATTTTGCTGTAAATGGTAAAAAAATACATCTATATTTAAATAACAATAAAAAGGTGAAAAGATTAAATTTTATTACATCCTGTGTTGAAAACTGATGTGAAATTCCCTTAAAGAGGCTGACCTCTTTTAATGTACCTTACTTCTTATATGAAAAATCTGTAACATAAAGAGCAGAAGGGGGAATGGCTTCATGGATTAACGGTGCATTTCACTACATACCTAGAAAAGCTCTTTAGGAAAACTAGATAAGAGAAGCTATTCTAATTATACAAAGTGGAAATACACAGGATTCCCCAATTTAAATGGTATTATTTGAAAATTATTTATTTATGAAGCACAATTTTTTTAAGAGGTAAGTTTCCTGCTGCCAATGTGCACTGCTCCCTGCAACCTCCTCCACCCAGCCTCAAGTGATCCTGTCACATCTCAGCTTCCCACATAGATGGGACTACAGTGGCCTGCTACCAGAGCTGGTGTGAGTCTGTGTGTGTGTCTGTGTGTGTTTAAATACATCCAGGTTGCCCCATGTTGGTGTTTTGTGTGTGTGTGTGTGTGTGTGTGTGTGTATGTATGTCTTTAAATAGACCCAGGTTGTACCATACTGACCAACTTTGAAACTCCTGGGCTCAATCGCTGGAGCCCGCTCAATCACATGTGCCAGCATGGGTCTACCAAAGTGACGGGTTTTCACGGATGAACTGCCACGCAAAACCTGATATTTTGATAAATGATTAAATTGAGCTACTTAAACTACATGCTTTCTTGGGGGAGAACCTTTTAAATATTGTATAATCTTTTCGTGATTTGAAATATACACTACCGAGATCGGGTATCCACAAACTCTGGCTTTCAGCCATAAATATCTTTGGCCTTTCAGAGACCCGGCTGCAGAAGAAGGAGTGAACCACTCTAAGTCTCTGACCCCCGCCTACGGTGGGATCGGCGGAGGCTAGGAGCAGTACTCTGGCCTATGTATGCGAGAAATCCCAGTGGCAATCTCCTTATGAGAATGTAACGTCTGAGAATGACGTGAGTTGCCACAGCTGCATGACACCATCCTCCCTGTCACCCTGCTGCCCCACACTGCGCTCCACTGAGCCCCGCTGCCGCCCAAACTGCCCCATCACGCTGTTCCAAGCAGGACCCCCGCCCTAACCCGTGCTCCTTGGTAAGCTGCCGCCTCTCCGCTCGGCAGCATGTCCACTCTCCGCCTACTTCCCCGTACCAGCCCCCTGTCTGTGGAAAACCTGCCTTCCTCTAAACCGGTCCCTGGTGCCAGAATGGCAACAGGTTAAAGGACCCCCATTATGTTTCTCAGACTAGTCTCCAACTCGTGACCTCAAGTCATTCTTACGCCTTCACTTCCGAAAATGTTGGGATTACAGGAGTACGTCAGTTTGCCAGGTTAATACAAAACCTTAAGCGCATCTATTTGCTTCTGTTTTCGGCTACCTACCGCCATTTATCTCCAATACCAACACTTCTTCCATTTAAATTATTTATGGTACCAGCGTTACATGAAACATCTTTCAAATACTGTCATAGAAGGAATTAAGGGTTTAAAAGAGGCAAATGTAAACTGATTATTCATGGTTCCAAACTTCTACATACCCGAAAGTTACACAATTTATGTTAAACTTTGCTAAGTCCTGTGAAGAAAATCAGAAATGTGAAATGTGCTAACTAAAAGTACAAGGTTTTTTTGTTTTTCTGCTCACAGTGTATGAGCACACTGCCTGTGTATGTGAGTCAGGACCACGTTCACAGAGAAAAACCGTTTCAATAAAAAGTGCACAGGAAAACAATGGCGCCCCAGGTCCATCACCCACAAGTTGCCCCCACATTGGACATGTCCAACAGTAACAGGAAGAATCCTCAAGAAACATCAATGAGTTTAACAAACCTGAGTTTCCCACGAGCACTAAGGACGACCCCCTCTCTACCGTGTCCTCCCATAATTCAACACCCGCAGGCTGAAAACTCCACCCGCTTTCGTTGACAATGTCCGAACACCTCACTGCATTTGTATTCTTGCCGAGAGACCAACCTGACCAGAGAAACCGAAATTACAGGCCCTTCTCAGTAGGACAAACAGCCTCTGGGTCACCGGGCCCTCAGGGTGCTCGCATCTGTCTGGGAAACGCCTCTAGCCCCGCTGCCGAGTGACAGGCCGGGAACCGGACTTCGCGGGAAAGATCCCCTGGCAGCCCTACGGAAGTAGCCGAAACGGCCTCTGTCGACAGCCAATC